TTGGGCGGCCTCCATGGTTGGGATCTCCAAGTCCTATAGGGAAATGTGCTGTGAATATGCAAGGCAGTCCTGCATGCAGATGGAAATGTTAGTAGCCTCGGTGAGCACGAAGCTTTCCTTCTCATAGGAGTAGGCGACGTCGAGGTTGGCGCACAGGGAGAGGACCCCCTGCTCCATCGACATCTTCAACACTAGGTACATGTAGTGTGGCATGGGCATAATCTTGGTGATGGCTGGTCGGCCAAGGATGGCATGGTACACCATGTTAAAGTCGGCAACCAGGAAGTTGACATAGTCGATGCGGAAGTGCTTGGCGGGGCCAAATTATACTGGCAGTGTAATCTGTCCAAGAGGCAGGGACGCTTTTCCGGGAATGATCCCCAGAATAGAGAGTCCATGGGGGTAAGATCTTCTTTCTTGATCCCTAGCTCCTCTAGGGACATAGCAAATAGGATGTTGAGGGTGCTCCCTCCATCGATGAGGACCTTCTAGAAGTGCACGTCCTTGACGATGGGATCCAGGATGAGTGGGAAATGCCCTAGGTATGGGATATCCGACCACTGATTGGCCCTAGAGAAGGTGATCATGTGCTCTGACCAGTTGAGGTACTTGGAATCAGTGATGGGGCCATCATATGTAGCGACCAACATGACATGTCGGGCTACAAGTTTCTGCTCTCGCTTGTCTTCAGAGGCAGCTCTCCCACCATACATGGTGGTGACGGTCTTGGTGGGGTCCTGGTAGGTTAGGCCCTTGTTCTTGCCTCGTTCTCCGCCTGGACCGTCTTCAGTCTCATCATCATTATGTTGCGGCTTCTTTGATGATTCACCACTGAGCGCTGTCTTTAGGCCTTTACACTCTCGCATGGTGTGGTTGGCATCCTTGTGGATAGGGAATGGGCCGTCTAGCAGCTTGCCAAAATTGGCGTCGTAGGTGTGCTTGGCACGGGCATTGATGGTGTTGATGGAGTTATTAGGCCAGCGGTGACGGCCTTGTCTGCCTCTTGAGCTATCCGGGTGGTCGTCACGCCAGGGCTCGCGGTCATCTTGGCAGCAGTCGTGATCGTCGCGTCGGTCTTGGTCATCACGGTGGCAATCATGATCGTTGTAGCTCCTATCTTCATGACAGTCATTGTTGCGGCATTGTTGGTGAGCGGAGTGGGTAGCCCATTTAGTTTCTTCGGCGTCGGCATATCCGTTTGCTATTTGTATTAGTTCGCCGATGGTTGTGGGCCTCTTGCGCTATAGCTTGCCATGAAGTTGCTCGTGCCAGAGCCCTTTGGTGATAGCGGCAATGGCCTCTACGTTAGTGATGTTGGGAACACAATTTCTTATCTCCGAGAAGCGCCTGATGAAGTCACGCATGGACTCCTCGGAGGATTGATGAAGCTTCTCTAGGTCATACTTGGTGCCATGCTGCTCGCACGTAGCCATGTAATTGTCGTTGAAGACTTTCTTGAGGTCATCCCAAGATTGGATGGAATTCTCCCACAGGCTAAGGAGATAGTTGTTCATAGATTGGTTAAGCATGATAGGTAGATAGTTTGCCATGATGTCTTCGTCTTCGCCTGTGGCTCTCACGACAATCTCGTATAGAGTTAGCCACTGAGCGGGGTTGGCCTTTCCATCATAGGTGTTGGCACCAAGAACCCTGAACCCATAGGCCACAAGATGGCTTAGAGCCTTTTCATGAAGGGGCAAAGTCCTGATGCGCCGGCGGGAAGTGGCGCATGTCGGGCAACAAATCCCTCATGTTCGGCGTCGAATTGCCGGCAACGCTCCATCTCTGCTTTGTAGCATGCGGACCTGCTATTTTTGATGCGGTCACGGACATCTACGCCATCGTTGATGTGGTCACGAAGGTCGCGAGGGAGGGGTTGATTGACCTCCTAGTTGTGGTTGCCGCCCCGACCTCCCTTGGGTCGCGGTGGGCGATTGTCGTGGCGTGAATGACCTTCATAGTTGCCTCCCAATCCTCTATAGAGGTAGGGACCTCCAGCCTGAGGTCGGGGGCCCTCGGTGCCATGATGCTGGCGTCCTCCATCATGGTGGGAGCGGCGGCTATGAGCTAATGTGGTGGAATAAGATGGGGCGTCATTCCAGAACTTGTTTACTTGGACTTGCGCTGCTATGATATGTGCTCAGACCTTCTCGACCTCTGGAGTGTGAGGGAGTTTGTCGAGCTCATTAAAAGCGATGGCTAGATTGGCACTTGGAGTCTGGTAGACTGGTTGGTCGCCCACCATGTCAAATTCCTCCTCTAGATTACGTTGATGGCAGGGCGGGCCGCGACCATCCTCGTCGGCCCCTTGGGCTGCTTCTGCATCTCGGCGATGTTGACGATCGGCATTCTTCGCTAGACGAGCTTCGCGCTCTTCAGTAGTTTCACCATCCTTGGTGATGCTGTCGTGGCTGACGTGGAAATTCATGCCCCCGAACCTCGAAGGGAAAGTAGAGCAGCTTTATATGGTCTTGGTTGAGCCCTCGGAATAATTGTCGGTGCTCTCGTTCAGAACGTTGTGGAGAGATTCGGTCGGAAGAGAGGGTTCATCCAAAAGCTAGCGAACAGCCACCATGTTGACCATGGGCATGGGCTGACCGGAGTCAGTTGGGTCGATCATGTAGAGGTCGGTGACATGGTCGTGCTTGACATGGTCGACAAAGAGGTGGTGGATGGCGTTCTGGTACATAGATCTCACACCCTCCAGCCCAAAGGGATAGGGCTTCGACGGGTCCTCCATCGGGGCCTCATAGTCAGCAAAATGTAGGCCGGTTGTGGGAAGTGGTCGGTGCCGTGCCATGCGCCCCTCTAGAGTAGCTGTGATCACCAGATCAGAATTTGGCCACCTTGAATGATGTGGCCGAGCAGGTCGCTCGGTTGCAGCGGCTTAGTGATCTTGGAGTATGGGAAATTCGTTGCTCGCTCTAGATTGATCTAAGACTGAATCCATGCGGAGCTGACATTCCGCTAAACGATCTGTGACCCGATCGATGGATGCAATCATATCATCATTGTTGATGGATCTCCTCACCCAACGGTGGGGCACCGGGATTGGAGATGTCATTGCAGGTGTTGGCACGATCGGCGCAGGGTGATCCTGCACCGCCTCCACAATCTCCCCATTACTGTCAGGGCCTATGACCCAGGTTATGGATCCAACCGTGAAGACCTGGCCTAGCTCAGGAAATGCCATGGAGCTCGAGAAGGTGACCATCTAGTACACCATGAATTCAGCACGCACACCCCCTACCTGGCATGCCACTATCGATGAAATACATCCAACAGTCTACCAAGGGGTATGCCCACAGTAGTAGATAAATCAGTGGAGGTGCATGTGAGGGAATCGGATGGTGGCACAGAACGCAAGAGACGGTAATTAGATAGGTTTAGGCCGTCAGCTTGACATAATACTCTACGTCCTGTGTCTTTATGGATTGTATTATGAGAGATGAGATGAAAACAAGGGGTCCCTACCTGCCTTATATACCTCAGGGGGTAGAGTTATAGATCGGTTGTTTCTATCCTGATCAATTTTATAAGATAGGAAGTTATAGATATTATGGGATCTAGCATATCCGAGCAGGTTTCCTAGATCACCGACGATCTTCACGCAGTCTTGCGAGGCATGCCGACCTATGTCGTGCTTCGCATGGTGATGTCTTGTAGGCTGGGCCTCCACTGGTGTCATGGCCCATGCGCAGTCTTGTGGGCTGGACCTCCACTAGTAGTTCGGACCATGCACAGCCCTGCTGGTATCGGGGGTTATACCCCCACAAAATGTAGGAGGAAAGCTGTACAGGAGTGAATCAGAGAAAATTTAAGAGATTTTTTGACCACCATGACACGATTGACACTTGAAAGCCTGGTGTGGTTGTGATAGGTCTTTTCACTCCTGTCCAAACAGTCACAACAGTCGAGGGGTAGATTGAAGAGTGAAGAGGAGTTCCTTTCATAAGCAATTTCTCTTGGTTGGTTTTCCAGAGACATGCTAACAAGACAAGTTGGGTTCACCATAGATCAAAGCCACTCATGACTACTGATACTACAAACAAATGCACACAGATCGCTACGACACTCAAAACTATGGACAACACGTTTTCTATCCAACGCATTCAAATATAAGGTGGAAGGACTCTCTTACGTGTGCAGTAGAATTTCAACACCTATGGCTACTCTATTCTGCATTTACGCTAGGCTTGCTCCTCTCAAATAAACCTTGCGCGGTTGCCAAGAGCGAAGTTTGGTTCACCAAACCGAGGCACAAAGCAACCCTTGCACGGTTGGATTGAGATATGTCCGGCCCACACAATGCTTGAACCATCACATGCGCACGAAGATAATGGTAAACGATACTTTGTGAACCAAAATGTTTGCACAAATGCGCACATTACATGCATAACAAGAAGATATCAGTGCTACTAGATAGAAAGATAACGACAAACTAGACTTCATATATATGTGGATTACAACAACGATATGAGTTTAGCCTACATAACCATGCCTTCATCTGCCATAATAATAAGAGGAGATCGAGTAGTGCTATCCCACTACTCAAAGTCATCCAACTACTACCTAGACATACTATTTCTAACTACAGATGATTAACATGACTTCATACTAATTTTAACGGCACCTGGCAGCAAGCTAGTCCTAACACAATATGTTGATGACTTGATACTACTAATGAGTACTGCCATCCCACACCTCTACGCAAGTCATGCAACAAGGGCACCAACAGGTGCGAACAAAATCCAACACCTGCATGGTAAACCGGCCTTGGTTGAAGCCAGCAAACCTCTCCACCACGGCAAACCGGCGTGGCCGGATGATCCCTTCAGGCCATCTAGGCCCTGGTTCCTTGCTAGGGCATGATGGCGGGCAACATTCTTGTCATTGGTGTAGGTGTCGTCTAGGGTGGCATGTGCCCTCGCCAGCAAATACGCCCTGGCGTCGGCCTTGATACAACCATGGGCATTACAGTTAGGGCAGACAGGGCACACCAGGCCGCCATACGGGCAGACGCGCAAGAATAGATTCAGGCCTAGGAGAACAAGCGTTGTGTAGCCGTGCAGATGATCATCCTCCGTTGTGACGTAACCCAAAGAGCCGTCAGACTTGAACTCAGCCTCGGTCAAGATGTCAGCCATGGCCTCAGCCTCGGCCAAGATGTCGACCTCGTCGTCGGCCTCGGCATAGGCCTCAGCCTCATCATCGGCCTCGTCATTGGCCTCAGTGGATGGTGAGGGGGACCACGACGGTGCAGGTGACCAGCGCACGTGGGGAACAGATTCGGTGATGGCGAGCGGACCCGGCGACGGCGAGCAGGACCGTACCGGGGCCGGCGGTGGTGAGCGAACCACCGGTGCCGATGGCGTCCGCGTTGTCGCGTTCGCTCGCCACCAAGGGCGACGAGGAGAGCAGCAGCCTAGGATATGGGAACGTCGATCTATGAGGACTGGACGTCGCTGCCGCCTTCACCGACACCAACCCATGATGCGCATCGGGGCCGCCTTCGCTGAACCACTAGAGGTAGCGGGGACTACAACCAGGCCACCAACGGCCTCCATGGCAACCGACGGGGTGGCGGAGGTGGGTGGCGAGGAGAGGGATTTTGCACAATGAAAGGTGGAATGGTAAACAATATGAATTGGGGCGAGGCCAAGCTTTATGTATACACGAGGACACTAGGGCTTCTAAGGCCAGATACTCTATAAAGATTTATTTATACACAGGGATGCTAAGGCTTCTAAGGCAAGATACTTCGTGAAGATTTATGTTTCGCAGAGGTGGGTGTCGTCATGCTCCCTCGGGAATCACAACAATTGAGAGCGAAGTGAATGCAGGATGAAAGCTAGACATGAGTGAAAATTTAAGAGATTTTGACCACCATGACACAATTGAGACTTGAAAGCCTGGTGCGGTTGTGATAGTTCTTTTCACTCCTATCCAAGTAGTCACAACAGTCGAGGGGCAGACAGAAGAGTGAAGAGGAGTTGCTTTCGTAAGCAATTTCTCTTGGTTGGTTTTGAAGAGACATGCAGCGCCTAGCTAGAGATGGGTACACTTACTATTCGACAAAAGATCCAATGGACAACGGGGGACTTTCTGGCGTGTGCAGTAAAAATGCAACATCTATGCCTCCTTCATTGTGCATTAGATCGAGCCGAGACTTGTTCAGATGAACTCCTCACTGCATGGCTGTTGCAAGTTTAACAATTTTTATCAAACACATGCAAATAAGACGAGTTGGGTTCACGATGGATCAGAGCCACTCATTTTGAGCATGATCAGAGCATTATCAAATAAATGTTAATCGTTGGGACAATGTGTACTACTCTTTTCTGAATGCACACGCGAGAAAGTCTGATACTATGTGATTGTAACGTGCCGAACAATGTCTGAATACTTTCACCTGCGTCAGGCATTGTATAAATGGTAATCGTTGGCAAAATGTGTACTAGTCTTTTTTGACTGCACCCGCTGCAACCTGTTGCTTGGAAATCCACATCAATTAAATCTATATTAAATTTGCACAAAACTCGGAGAGCCCAGTGTGCCTGGTTTAGCCATAAATCTACGAGAGAGGTAAGAGCAAGGCACTCTTCTCTGTTTTCTTGCGGTACTCCTTCGCCTTCTCTCCAGCCTTGAGCGAGTCGCGTCTTCGGCAGGAGTGATGGACCATGGGAAGCTCCCGGTGGAGAACCCTACGGAGGGGAGCGGGCCTCCACTGTGTCTCTACTCCCATTTGTGTGGCAGAACCTCCAAAATCATAGGGCCCACATGCACCTGTCATTGTCCAACGACCTTTGACATCTATGCATATGTTCCCGGTAACTTAAGAAGACTGTCGGGTGTCCTCGGGGAACCCCGAATCATCCACGATTTCCGAGCAGGATCACATTACAGAGTCATTGTAGTATTACAACAGTTTATTCAAATAGATACATCAGAGTAAAAGTAGCGGAAGACTTACAATAACATAGTTTACAAACCATTTGTTTCAAACCATACAACTAAGTTCGATAATAAAACAAACCAAAGTAGTGGAGTGGCATTATAATATATTACAAAACACACAACAAAAGCTACCCTGCCCAAGGGCCACACATTTAATTATCGTCATCGCACTGAACGACAGTCATGCAGCACGATCCAAAACAGATCTGCTCATGAGCCTCACCTGCAACAAGGGTCAACGAACCCTGAGTACAAAAGTACTCAACAAGACTTAACCGAAATAAGAATTTAAAAGAACACAGGAATGCAGGCTCATGGGATTCAAGGTATGGCTTTAGCAATAATCAAGGTTCTTTTGCGTAAAAGCATTTTAACAAAATTCTTTATATCAACGTTTAAAACTTCATAAAGATCATCTACAAAGCTGACACGATCCGTATTGAGACCATGAAACTTCGTAACCAACACCTTCTCAAACCATCCTCAAGTTCCAGTTATTAATACTACGATGATGAACAGTGAGTTGAGTCTCCATAACCGAGGAGCAACGACGATTCGAACCGATTATAACCCAGCTAGGAATTCCAGACCACACGACATATGTAGGTCCCCGACCTACATATACCAACCTACCCTCGGATCCTCTAAAACAAGAACGGGTCCACGCCACCCGAGAATACAGTACTCCACCAATCCAGCCCATTGCCACGTGGGTACATGCTATTCCCGCCATCTCTCCACTCCCAGTGCGTGAGTAGCCATTCTCATAATAGAATAACCAAGTTAAGGCTTACCGAAGTATGTGGTTAGTACTACAAAGTCTCACCTCATGCAATTCAACAACGGACGGACCTTAATCGACACAGGCGGAAAGAACCTGCTCACAAGACCTCCATGTCTTGTGGCTCACACACACCGAGTCTGCCCGGTCTAGATTTATTACTCCACATTCCCATATCACATGCTAATATATTTAACCAAAGCTTCATTTAAAACTTGCAGATGACATGTAATCACCCGACTTTCACCGTTCTAAGCATAGCTAAGCAAAACTGGCATATACGAATTAAATATTGGTAATATGGTAAATATGGAATAACAAGGTTGGTAAGGTACCAATTTGGTTTTCACTTGACTCCTAATCACTTAATGCAGTAAAAAGAAGCAAAAGCGAAATTGATTTGTAAAATACAAGGTAGGGTTGTATGCATCCGGGGCTTGCCTTCGTTGACGGAAAAGTCCGGGTCCGGAGTCGCTCCACCGATATCAACACCAACTTCCACAGACGGATCAACCTCCTCAACTACTTGATTAACTACCACATGCTCACCTTCCTTCACTACACGTAGTAACAATGCCATGCTTAACATGATGCAGATACAAAATATGATGCTCGATGATGGATACAAAATTAACAACTTGAATACAACTTTCCTTCGCGGTACAGTTACAAGTTAAACTAACTAAACCATTTTCGCAACACTCACAACAATTGCCAAGGATCATTACCAACTAATGACCCAAGGACATCACTTAATCAAAAACTCAAACAAAACCTAAATCACTAAAGGTTACTATTTGCTTTTATGAATTAATTACATAATTAATAATTATGAAATATATCAACTTGTTCCAATTGACCTCAAAATTTTTGTATATGTTCATCACATGATAACTAAGTGACAAAACAATTTTCATAATTTTTGGATACATAAATAAGTCTAGAAAAATCCTGAAAACTCATTTATTAATTAATTGAGCAATTTTTATCACATTCAAAAAGTACTGAAAATCAACATTTCATATTTTTCCTAAATAATACACATCACAGAGAAGTCACACAAAAATTTTCATAATTTTTGGAGCTCTAAATAAATCTACACAAAAATAACAAAAACAGACACTATTCATTTAAATCTGAAAAACAGAAAATTCATTTAAAACGCTGAGTCACTGACAACCGGTCCCACTTGTCATCTTCAACCTCCGACGTTGACCACGGCAGCGACGGCTCTGACCGGCGAAAACTCGCCGATGGCGAGCTCAACGACGACGACCAAGGTACTAAAATGATCACCAACACTAGGCGCATCGATTGACATCCCTATCTGTACTGATTACGGCCCTATACTAGCTCGACGGCGGCCATGGCGGACGCGGTGGCACGGCTGCGCTACGCCGGCGACACGAAACCAGTAGAGCTCAAACAAAGGATCCAGGAAACACCAGTAGCTCACCCCGAACGCGTTGAAGCAAGGAGCGAGGTCGGAGAAGCAACGGAGACACGGTTCGACGGTCACCGCGATCACGGCGGAGCAAATTTCGATGACGGCGATGCTCCGGCGACTGCGGTGGAGGAAATGGTCAATCAACTGGGCACAAAGCACCATGGCATCGAGGCAAAGCTGAAGCAAGAGCCAGAAATAGCAGAGGCTCACCGTAATGCGCTGGCCACGGCGACGCGCACACCACGGTGGTGCTGCCGGCCGCGAGGAAGAAAACGATGAACGGCGAGTTCACGGCGAAATCAAGTGACAAGGATGGTTCGACTGAGCGCGCAAGGAAGAAGCGAAGCTGTTGAGCACTTTGCTATGACTGCACAGGCGCTGGTTCGACGGCGAGGACTCAACGGAGAATGGCGGTGGCGGCAGGAGAAAAACAGAGGAGAGGAAAGAACGACGACGACGGCACCTCGGTCCAAATAACACGGCTCAGAAGCTCAAGGAAGCTGCGCTGTGGCCTTCACCGCGCCAGCGCGACGCCAAAAACGACCACGACCGCGCCTCGAAGCAAACCGAAGGTCGCCGGCGATGAGTTGGCTTCCGCGGTTACTGTTCATCAAAATTACAGAATTGCCATCCGCCAAAATTTCCAAATTACTCCCAAATTTTCATAACAACTCAAAAATCTCCAAAAACAAAAGTTGTTAAAAATCAAAAGTTCTACCACTTTGCTTTTGAAACCATATCCAAATTCGGCCTACATTTTGAAATGAACTTTTGAATTTAAAACGGGGATATTTAAGGAATTTCGCCTTTTTAAATAACTTCAAATTTTACTAAACAACTTGAAAAACTCCATAAATAAACTTTGCACAACTCGACAAGCTCTACAACTTTGCTTTAAGACTCAACCCCAAAATGTGCTTCGATTTTGAAATGGATTTTCAGGGTCGGATTTAAATATTAAA